CACCGGGATCGTTCCTGCAACAGCAGGAAAAAATTTCTCGAAAAACTCATCCACTTTTGTGTAGCTTTTGTAATGAAAGATGTAAAGCCCTGCTACCGGAACCGATCCTGCGAACAACAGGAAAAAATTCCTCGAAAAAACTAATCGATTTACTGATTTTTGTTATTTTATCGCTTTTATAACAATGAGAAGAAATAAAGCCCTGCTACCGGAAACGATCCAAGCAGCAGGGAAAAAAATCCTCGAAAAACTCATCGACTTGAATTCTGATTTTTGCCACTCTCTAACTTTTATAACAATGAAAAATCCCTGAAACTAGAACCGTTTCTGAGAGCAGGAACAACTTTCCCGTAAAAACTCATCCACTTTTGTAATGAGAGAACTAAAGCCCTGCGAACAGCAGGAAAAACTCGCCCACTTGAAATTCCGATTTTTACGATTATATAGCTTTTTTAATAATGTGATAGAAGAAAAATTCTTGTCACCGAGATCGTTCCTGCAACAGCAGAAAAAAAATTCTCGAAAAACTCATCCACTTTTGTGTAGCTTTTGTAATGAAAAGCCCTGCTACCGGAACCGATCCTGCAAACAGCAGGAAAAAATTCCTCGAAAAACTCATCGATTTACTGATTTTTGTTATTTTATCGCTTTTGTAACCATGAGAAGAAACAAAGCCGTGATACCGGAAACGATCCTGCAAACAGCAGAGAAAAAATTCCTCGAAAAACTCATCGACTTGAATTCTAATTTTTGTCACTTTTATAACAATGAAAAATCCCTGAAACTGGAACCGCTTCTGCGACAGCAGGAACAACTTTCCTGAAAAAACCACTTTTGTAATGAGAGAAATAAAGCCCTGCGAACAGCAGGAAAAACTCGCCCACTTGCATTCTGATTTTTGCGATTATCTAGCTTTTATAACAATGTGATAAAACAGCAGGAAAAATTTTTCGAAAAACTCATCCACTTTTGTGTAGCTTTTGAAATGAAAGATATAAAGCCCTGCTACCGGAACCCATCCTGCGAACAACAGCAGGAAAAAATTCGTCGAAAAACTCATCGATTTACTGATTTTTGTTATTTTGTAGCTTTTATAACAATGAGAAGAAATAAAGCCCTGCTACCGGAAACGATCCTGCAAGCAGCAGGAAAAAAATAAAAAATCCCTGAAACTAGAACCGTTTCTGCGACAGCAGGAACAACTTTCCTGTAAAACTCATCCACCTTTGTAATGGAGAAATAAAGAAGTAAAGGACTTCTGAGTTTTGCTATTGTCTAGCTTTTCTAACAATGTGATAGTTGAAAAATCCCTGCTACCGACTGTTCCTGCGACAGCAGGAAGACGCTTTTGTGGGTAAGTTGAAAAAGGTTGGTGTTCCGAGCGGTTCCGTCGGACCTTGAGTCGGGCGGTCACCCCGTGTGCGCCCCCTCGCCCCCCCAGACTGCGCCCCGGCCCGTTGCACTTGCAATGATATAATTATAGTCAGTGCACATGCGCCCCGGGCGCACGTAGCCGTGGCCTTCACCACTGAAGTGAGCTGCACTTGCCATACCTCGCTATCTTGTTCTTCAGATTCTTCGTTTTGTTTTCGTAACTCGGCGACCGGAAATCGCTGATTGCATTGCGAATAAGCGCAATTATTTTCCGCGCGCTCTCATTTATTATTGAAAAGCGAAATTAAAATGTTACTACCAATATTCAAACATACTTTCGTAATTAAGATTGTGTCGCCGTAAATAGCCAAGTAATGAGGATGTTGGCTACGAGAATTCATTAAGAATATGCGGAATAAATTTCAGCGGAAATTGCGCTCTTCAAATGCCGAGGAGGAGTTATGGAGATGGCCTTTACGACAATTTTATCTTAACAGAAAAATAATCAATAATTTGTAATCTCAAATCCTCGAGGTTGATGCAGTCATCAGACGTTTTGAAACACAAATATTTCATAAATTACAACCTGCTATCAGAATGAGTAATTGGAAGCATCATAATCACATTGATCTTTTTTGAAAAAATGAAAAAAAAGCAAATAAATTCAGCACGAATAAGAAAGCTCATTTCAGGACTCATTGTTAACGACCTATATCTTTTCCTTTGTTTTTCCGTTACCCACTTTGATTTACTTTTAACAATACTCTCATGACATTGAAACAATAAAATCATTCAATTCAATGCTACACTTGACATTATTAATTGCAATTTCTACTTTTTCTTATTATTTATTGTTGGATCTAAAAAGTGAAACACAACAAGAAATTTTATCTCGTTAGACAAATTTATGTAATAAAATTTAGCAAAATAATTATTTATTTGGCAATGATTAGCATCCTGCTGTAAAATTCCGCGAGATTATTAGACTTCCACCACGTGCCAAAAATAGCCAAAGTTTTCCTGTGGGGACCGAGTTGGTATTGGCCATATGGCAACTCGTCACCCAATCAAACTGCAATAGTAGATTTTCAGGCCACCAATCGGGCCCCTCGCTCTAAAAGTGCATCATCGTCTCGGGTGGGAAAGGGTAGTCACCCCTGTTGCGTAAATCGGGGCTGAAAAAGCTCGCGATTGGTAGAGAAAGAAGTGAAACGGAAGCGCCTGAAGTTGCGACGGGTAGCGAGAGTGTTTGCAGCGCAACTGCATAGCGGGTGACCTTCAGCTTGCGGAAAGTCGCAACTAGAGTCGATGAACTAGTGACCGAGGACGCAACAGCGGCCGTTTCCAGCACTTTCTTCAAGAAAATCGAGAGCAAGCTGGCGGAAAAAGAAGAATTTCTTCCATGTGCAACAAAAAGGAGGCAAAAGTGAAATGTTATCGCAAACAATCAGCTAGACTCGGGTTCAATGAGGAAAAATAAAAATAGTTCTTTGAGAGAGCAACACAAAGAGATAGTCAACACTGACCTATCCTAGCAAAGGCGTGATGATGCATCTAGTTGTGCTAGACAGTCTGCGTCTAGTTCGTTCCACTCTAGGCCACTAGTTTACTGTTACATGACTGTAAATTATTCACATATTTGCACAACTATTTCCAGACCATTCTTAGTTTAGTTTTTACACTTTGCACCACTCGACTTGAACTTTAGAAATTTTCTTGACCTGCATAACTTTTTACAATTCAAAAAGAATGAATTTAACATTTAGTGGATTTTGCATTGCAGATTGATGCATTTTGCATAATATTCGCTTTTGAGTTGTTTTGCAGTCTTTATCACCAAGCATAATGTCAAGCAAAGTGTCCAAGATCAGTTTTTAAAAATACATTTATTCAGGATAACTGATTTTGAGGGTTATCTTGAAATGAGTTGCAATAAAAAGTGTTTGTCACCGTCCAGCATTTCCGTCACCATTTAAATAAATATCAAAATATATTTGCTATGGCATTACGACACACGACAAAAACACTGGAAATTTAAAGATTTTAGACAGTATTTGACTTGGGATTAACCAAAAATAAGACATTGTCAACAAAAAACACAAGAAAGGTCACTCTCTTTGGCGATGACCTTTTATCAAAATTTAGATTTAGGCTTATGTTCAGATTTGGTCAAATTTTTGATCACATTACACGTCCAACTCTCATTGTCAACAAAAAACACAAGAAAGGTCACTCTCTTTGACGATGACCTTTTATCAAAATTTAGATTTAGGCTAGATTTGTCAAATTTTTGATCAAAGACGTTGACAATGAATACATTACTCGTCCAACTCTAAACATTCTAATTTAATTCTGTCTGGAACGATGCATCAAATAAAAATGTAAACAGGAGTGCAATAAATTAGATTGTCATTCTGATTTTTTAAGCAACTGCTAACCTAGGTCAATTCTATGGAGTTAACTCTATTTGGAGTAAGGCAGGGTAAACAAAAAAATGTGTAAAAATAAAACGACAAGGTTATTTAGTTAATTACTTCCTTTGGCACGATTAAATTTCAGATTTTTCGATACTGAAACACTGAATTTTCGGGAGGTGTTATTTTAAATGTCGGAAGGTCACATTCTATCGATTCCTATGGTCGCGTACAACGACATTGGCGCATGGAAACTGAAAGTGGCAAAACAAACAGCTTCTATTTTAGTGGATCCTCATGACATTGTGCGAGGTCATGGTTTACGTAACTAAATAATAAAAGTTCTTCAAATATAATTTTGGTGATATTTTTTTATCAGTTGCAATTGTTAGGTGCGATTATGACCCTAATGTCAACGAGATTACAATAAAAAATCGTCTGATTTTTTTTATCACCACCAAAAATAAGTCCCAAATGCATTTTATCAGCAGTCAAAAGGCTCTCAAGGTTATTATTATTCAGGACGGAAATTTTATTTTATTACATTGAATCGAAATTGTCGCCAAGCTCGGCGATAAAAAACGAACAAAGATCAAATTTTGGTCTTATTCGGCCAGATAATAACTTTATAATTAGCGACTTAATTGAAAAGACAAATTTTTGGACCAAATAATTAATGAGTTGTTTGTTATTTTGATCTTTACTGATTTTATAAAACTTGTTCCGTCTCTCCCAAAATAGCGCGATGATAAATTTCAACAATGATTTTACAGGTAGGTGTACTAAATAGCTATTTCCTGCTACAATATAAACGCCCCACTGATGTTGGAAGATGCAATTGTTTTAAAAATAAAGATCAGATTAAGTATTTTTGCACACGGCATTTTTTCTACATGTTTTATAATTAAAACATGAAGAAACTTTGCTTCCAATAATTCAAAAAACTGCTTTTTTCCACACTAATTAAAATTTTGATTTGGTTAATTGTGCGTTATCACACCAGGAAGCTACTTGTTGTTTTCTTCAATCTACAAGAACCCGAAAACAAATAAAAATATTTTTATTTCTCTGACCTGCCCTAAATTGTAATTTGTTAGGATTTTCAAGTGGGAGGCAAATAGTCTGGGCTATTTTCGTCATTTTGGGTGCCTAGATTTAAAAATAAATAAAAAACCAAGCCAGAGAATTTTGATTTCGCACCAAAATACTCACTGGATGTGAAGGGCTGGTAGAACTGCTGGGGCATGTGACTGGGCGCTCGTTGACCATGATGGGCAGGCGACGTCCACGACAATGGGTGTCTTGAAAATAAATTTCCTACAGGAGAATGTATCGAGGGTTGTAATCTCGCTTTTAACTCGTCGGTTGATGTGTGACCGCTGGATGAACTGTCCACGTCTGAAACGCCTGAATCTGCTGGACTCGGCGGCAACGAACCTGAAATTTTGCGCCAAAACTTCAACGATTTGCAAGGGGATTTTAAATAGAAACGATAAAATGCGGGATGAGTAATTGACTATTTCCGGTTTTGGAAGAAATCAAAATTTTGAGAAATGTCAATGTTGTGCTTATCGTGTTCCTGGTACCATCACCTGACGGTTTATACTCTCGCAAGATAAGATTGATAAACAATATGATGAGAAAAGTAATGAGTAAGGCTCGGATTATACGATGCAAAATGCATATTTGTTATTAGGAGGTATATCAACAAAATTATAAATTTTCTATGCATTTTTTGATTAATGTAAGCCAAATAAAAAATGCATATTTTGGCACTTTTGGGCATATTTTAAGAAATATTGCATATTTGTGCATATTTTTCTCAAATCACGAATTTCCAATATAAAAATTCAGTTCAAGTTTAAGAAAAATGATCTGATTACAAAATATGTTAAAGAGAAAACAACAGGTAATTCGTAAGAATTAGTACCTATTCTGTTGAGTATTTTTTTTTTAATTTGTTTTATACAGGGTGAATATAAAATAAGGTTTTCTTTTAAACATTTGTCTCCAGAAAATAATAATTATTATAAATTAAAGTAACATAAAAAATGTGATCGTATTTTGAAAACAAACTTTTATTTTGTTTTTGAGTTATGCGATTTTTTTTGTCAAAATTGCAATTTATGTAAAAAAAATGAAAAAATTTAATATAAAATAGAAAGTTGTGATCCTTAGAAGATAAATGTTTTTTTAGTGAGTTGCCAAATAAATGTAAAAAATAAAATTTCGAAAAATTTTATTCTTTATAAAACATCACATTTTTACAGTACTTTATCATCCAACAATTAGTTTTTCCAAAAATAAATACACTGGCCGCCAAAAGTGACCAGACAACTAAAATTTTGCGATTTTTCACATTGCAATATTTTTGTTATTCTTTGTCGGATTTCGACGAATTTTTTTTTGGCTTAAAGAAAAAACTTTGTAGACCATTGTAATTTATTTCAATAACATTTCTAGTTTTGTCTTCTAAATGTGATACTCAAAAGACGAAGACACTGTTTTTTTACTTATTTTTATACTGAGCTGTGGTGTGCGACAGAGACAACAGCACTTGTTATAACCTTTGAAGTTCCAAGTTTTTCAGATTTTTTGTATTCAAAGACGTAATTGTGCTTTTTTAGTGACATAAGCAATAATTTTCGGTTTAACTCCCTTTCTATGTAGCCTACTTTTTTAACGAATATTTAGTAACATTAGAAAAGCAACGTCTTTTTCAATGCTTTGTATCTCTGGGGCACCAGAAGATAAAATTTTGAAACAAATTGGTCCTCATTCAAAAAAGAACGGGCAAAAATCTGAAACAAGTAAAAACTTAATTTTGTCTCTGTTGCACACTACAGACAAAACTAAAAATGTTATTGAATTAAATAAGAATTCTGCAAAGTCCGTTCTTTAAAACTCATCAAAATCTGACAAAGAATAACAAAAATATAGCAATGTGAAAAATCGCAAAATTTTAGGTGTCCGGTTAATTTTGAAAACCAGTGTATTTCCGGTTTTGGAAGAAATGAAAATTTTGAGAAATGTTTTGTTTTGCACACTACAGACAAAACTAAAAATGTTATTGAATTAAATTACAATATTCTGCAAAGTTCGTTCTTTAAAATTCGTCAAAATCTGACAAAGAATAACAATGTGAAAAATCGCAAAATTTTAGGTGTCCGGTTAATTTTGGAGACCAATGTATTTCCGGTTTTGGAAGAAATGAAAATTTTGAGAAATGTTTTGTTTTGCACACTACAGACAAAACTAAAAATGTTATCGAATTAAATTAGAATATTCTGCAAAGTTCGTTCTTTAAAACTCATCAAAATCTGACAAAGAATAACAAAAATATAGCAATGTGAAAAATCGCAAAATTTTAGGTGTCCGGTTAATTTTGAAGACCAGTAAATTTCCGGTTTTGGAAGAAATGAAAATTTTGAGAAATGTTTTGTTTTGCACCCTACAGACAAAACTAAAAATGTTATCGAATTAAATTAGAATATTCTGCAAAGTTCGTTCTTTAAAATTCGTCAAAATCTGACAAAGAATAACAATGTGAAAAATCACACAATTTTAAGTGTCCAGTTAATTTTGGAGACCAGTGTATTTCCGGTTTCGGAAGAAATAAAAATTTTGAGAAATGTTTTGTTTATCATGATCCTCGTTCCATCACCTGATGGTAAGATTGATAAAGGATATGATGAGAAAAGTCCAAAATAAGAAACGTTGATGGTCAAAATCGTTGGTAGTGCGTGAAATGCGTGCCCGACTGCAAAATAAATCAAAACATTCGTGGTGGTGAATGCTTATGCAAATTGCGGACAATCGGAATGACACCAAGAAGTGACCATCAGAATGAAACCCCAAGTTCTCACGTAGTATCCTTTGAAAAACAGCAAATCGCAATCAAAGTATCCAACGGTCATCGTAGGTAACGACATAATCGGGAATCTCACAGCGGCCCATCGTAACGTTCCTCGAGGAAAAGGGCACAAAGGAAGGGTAGATAGTCGATGGGCGACTGGATTTGGTCCCAACAGTGACCCCGTCTTGTATAATAGATATGATTAATGGGCAGCGAGGTCAACAGGTCACGCCGGACATTAAGGGATGGACCGGACATCGGTTCGCGGAATTAAAACAGGTTCGCGACGACAAAAGAACGGGTTGCACATGCCAGGGGTGTGTTGTTTATTTACTGCCGGTCGAGGGGTGCAAGGCATGCGTGACTAATGGCCCGAGAGGGAAGGAACTATGACGACGTTTTCTAGCTTCCTCAAGAGGATTTTGCAAATTCAACAAAAACGACAATATTGCTTATCAAGTGTGGAAAATTAGAACTGCGAGCTAATCGCTGCCCACAACGTGATTTAATTTTTATGTATAATTTTTGTTTGGCCTAAAGAAAAAACTTTGTAGATCATTGTAATTTAATTTAATAACATTTCTAGTTTTGTCTCCTAAATGTGATGAAGGCACTGTTTTTTTACTTATTTTTATACTGAGCTGTGGTGTGCGACAGTGACAAGCTTAAGTTTTTACTGATTTCAGATTATTGCCCATTCTTTTCTGAATTACAGAATGTCCCAGCGAGTTGAAAAAGTACATAAGTGATTTTTAAATGGTGAAATTAAAAAAAATATATAGGACATTGGATACTCATCTACTGCATCACCTAAAATTATTTTCAACCATACAAAATGTCCCAAAAATAAGTTACGATACAAACTTGGATTTTTTTTAAATGAAACACTACATTTCTTGGCATTTGTGGATGTAGCCTTTTAAAACAATGTTTTTACGCTAAACTTTTATTAGTCGATTTCGCTTAGTTTTAGAAATAAGACATTTTTTTTGACGAAAACAAGCACTTTTTAAAAATTCATTACACAATAACTAAGACATCTAGAACAACTTTTTTCTTACTTTTGCAAAGAAGAAAGTACAGAATTTAAAGCTGTAGCAATTTTTTAGTGTTTTGCATTTGTATAGATTAATAGATTAAGAAGTTTGTTAAAAGTTAAATAACTTAAAAAATTTAAATGGAACACCCTATTTTTTATTTTTGCATCTAATAGATTGTTAAATTGTCTATCTGAAAAAATAAACTTTTAATGTCTACAATTGATAAATGAAAAGATTCAAAATTAATTGTAGCAACAATGATTACCAATATCTGAGCATTGTTGATACTATGGCAACCATAGTAATTTCACCACGGATCACTTATCCGTTGATTTATCCAAAAATTCTAAAAGTCGTTATAAATACTGAAATTCAAATTATTTTATTGTAATTATTTAGTGCAACTGTGTCCTCTTTGACTACTAAAACAATAGTAATTTTTTTTTTAATGTTTAACATTAAATATCTTTTTAGTTATTGATTATAAACACCTAAAAGTAAATAATTTTAGAAAGACAATTTAATAATTTTTTAAATGCAAATCAATAAATAGGGTGTTCCGTTTAATTTTTTTAAGTTATTGAACTATTAATAAACGCCTTCATTTTTTTATCTTTGCAAATGCAACACACTAAAAAAATGTTACAACCTTATAGCTTGTACCTTTTTCTTTGCAGTAGTAAAAAATATTTCTAAATGTCTTAGTTTTTGTGTAATAAATTTTTAAAAAGTGAATGTTTTTGTCAAAAAAACGTCTTATTTTTAAAACTAAACAAAATCGACCAATTAAAGTTTAAAAACATTGTCATAAAAATCTACACTCAAAAACGCCAAGAAACATGTGGTGTTTCATTTAAAAAAAAACATAAATTTGTATTGTAACTTATTTTTGAGACACGCTGTATAATTGAAAATAATTTCAAGCGATGGAATAGATTAGTATCTATGAATGTCCTATATATATTTTTTTTATTTTACCATTTAAAGGTCACTAATGGACTTTACCAAATTTCAAACACTTTACCAAACACCTGGATGTACCACATTTTTCATAATTTTAATTCTTCCTTCAAAAAAACCATTACATTTTCAATTTCAATGAATGTTCGTATTAAGTTGACTAAATTTGCCAAAACGTCAAAATAGGCACATGGAAGCTTCCAATAATTAACCCTTTTACTTGTTGTAATCCTTTGAAGTTCCAAGTTTTTCAGATTTTTTGTATTCAAAGACGTAATTGTGTTTTTTGGTGACATAAGCAATATTTTTCGGTTTAACTACCTTTTTATGTAGCTCACTTTCTGAACAAATATTTAAACATTAGAAAAGCAATCAATTCTTTGTATCTCTGGGGCACCAGAAGATAAAATTTTGAGACAAATTTGTCCTCATACAGAAAAAAACGGGCAAAAATCTGAAATAAGTAAAAACTTAATTTTGTCTCTGTTGCACACTACAGCTCAGAATAAAAAAAGTCAAAAAACAGTGCTCTCGAACAAAAATTCGTCGAAATCCGACAAAGAATAACAATGTGAAAAATCCCAAGATTTTTATTGCCCGGTTAATTTTGGCGGCCAGTGTAGTTTGCACTAATTAGTTTGAAAAAAACTGAGCTATCATTAAAACGCGCCTTGGGAGCTGTCCTGGGCCCCTCGATCTCACGAGGGATTAGAAAAGTCGGCATGTAAATGGTTTATCACATTAGAAAAGGTGTCGAGACACAGGTAAAGAGGCAACAAGATCTGTGCCATCCAACAATGTAATTACAAAGTCTTTGACAAAAGATGTAGCACCTGATAGGACTAGTGGAATAATGAAAATGGACCACTCCAATCAAAACAACGTAAATGATATCGAAGGGTAAAAAGCTAAAGGATCGCATAAGTGTTGAGATAAGAAGAAGATTTGAAGAATATAGCGAAAATAAAGAAGAGGGTTGAAATTGGGGAGAAGGTATCAGATTACGTTCTAGTTGACCACTTAACTGACCACCTAACGGCATTCGCCTAGCATTTTCCCACAGCTGAGCAGTTTAAACTTTATCTATTTAAGGGTTGAAAATTGAACGAAGAACCGGACATCGCTTCTGGACTGACCAGTCGAGTGGTCACTAATTCCGCTGCTCAGAACTAGTTTTCCGGTGTAATTTTTCCTGATAGGTCTTTGTTGGGCGATTTTTGGAGACGTTGCAGTCAAAGGGGTCGATTTTTATTGAATTATTCCATTCGAAAACGTTTAACCGACTTGTCGCCGTTGGATCAACATTCTTATCCCTTTCATCCTGTTTTGCTCCACTTAAATAAACATCTTCTAAGTAGTGTACCTACTTTCCCCAAAGTCAAAGCCTGTCACCCCCGACAATGATTTATTATTCTAACACTTTCTCCGGCCTGACCAAAGGGTGAATTTTCACAATCTCACACTCAACAGCTGCTAATGCAAAAGGTTGTTGACAAAAATATGTATTTGCCAAGCATACAATTTCTAGACAGATTGCACAGGATTATGCAGTTTTCGTGTTTAGGGAATAACACGTGCGGCAAGGGTTTCACTCATTTTGGGCAACAAATACATCTGCCCAAGCTGAATATACAGGGTGTTCCGTTTTTATTGTTACAAATTTGAATAGGTAGAACAATATTCAATTTTAAGACAAAAGTGAAAAGGATGCGTTTTTTAATGGGGTCGTATTGAAAAACGCAAAAGACCTATTTTTGTGAAAAACTATAGAATTTAGAATTTTGTTGTTAAAAGTGGCAAGAAATTTCAGCCAAAATAGTTAGAGTACTATTTATCCTAACCCACAGTTTAAAAAAATATACCATTTTCAACTTAATTTGCTACGTTTTTGGCCCATTTAGGTGAAATTTTACTTGCAAAAGACAAAAACAATGTCGTTTTCGACCCCTAATATAACTATCATAGCAAAATTTTCTGAAAAAAATCAGTTTTGGCTCGAAAACGTTTTTATTTGCTTGAAAATAGATGGAAATAAAATAATTTTTTGCCTAATTAATTTTTGGGCATGTTTTGATAAAAAACAATTAAGATTTTTACTCACAAATGGCAAAAAAAAGATTTTTTATCTAATTATCTAATTCTCTAATAATCTAATTGTCGCATGTGCATTTTTAACTAAAAAAGTCAAAAATAATGTTATTTGGTCATTTTTTTCCTAAAATTTTGCAAAAAAAAAACAGTTTTTAACTCAAAAACATGTTAAAGCTGTAAAAGGTGGTTTTTTGGTTGTGAATGAAATTTTTTGAAAAAAAGTAGGTTTTTAGGTCACCAAACTAAATCCAGTGAAACAGACAAAAATAGAGCAATAATGTGAATCTAGTTTAGTGATTTTGTGGCCTATTTTAGCAACATTTTGCGAAAAAAAGAAGTTTTTAGTTCAAAAATGTATTTAACTGCTTAAGAAAGCAAAAATAGCACAATTTTTATTGGTTTTTCAACTAGTTCGGACGAAATTTTGCAACAAAATTGTATTTCTGGCTGAAGAACTTTCTTAAACGCTTGAGAAAGTGAAAAATATGATATTTTCGATTTAATTTCGTGATTTTATATTGTCTTAATCAAAATTTGAGTTTTTATGTTAAAAACGTACTAACACGTTTAAAAAAAGAAAAATAGTATGATTTTCGACCAAACTTGACCATTTTTTTTTCGGTAGAAAACACCACAAAACAAGTGTTAAAGAAAGAAAGATTTTACTCAAAAAGGGTAAGTTATATCGTAAAAACGCAAAAGACCTCTTTTTAGTAAAAAACTATGGAATTTAGAATTTTGTTGTTGTTATAGTACTTTTTATCCTAAACCCCCCAGTTTAGGACGAACCTGATTAAAAATTTTGACATAAAGGTAATCAACTGTACCAAATTTTTTACATTTATCTAAAATGGTTTCTGAAATATTACACAGAATCCATTAAAACAAACACCCCTTTCAGGGAGTGTAGCGTCCTATAATGTTCATTATCTTAAAATTGAATCTTCTATCTCCTGTTTAAATTTGTAACAATAAAAATGAAACACCCTGTATAAAAACAGTCACACGGGGTGAATGAAATATTCGAAAAACCTGGCTTGTAATGGACAAAAAATGAGGTGATGATACTTTTAATAATCAAACATGAAACATACCGGTGGTTGTCGTGGGATACACTGACTTTCTTCTACCATAATCACACAATGAGGGATGCTGGAGGTCTGTACGCTGTCTTGAAAGTAGTTGATGTAAGTAGTTGTTTTGCTCCTTATCAACTGAAAACAAACATTTCAATTAGAAAAAAAAACAAGTTTTTCTCAAAAAGAGAACATTTAAAAATAGACGCACTGGCAATGTGCCCAATTTTAGTAATTTTTGTCTCAATTAATTCTTGTTGCTTAACGAAAAGTGTTAAACTATGTACATGGAGGTTTCAAAACCATTCCCATACTTACGTTATCCAGGTTAATGTCTGCATTGTTTTGTTTTCAACAATTTTGGTATTGCGTAACTCATTTTGGAGAAATACAAATCATTTGGCACGTAAATTGTTTTTCACCAGACAAAAATTGACCCCTGATAAACTACTCAAGCGAAAGTGCGAAATTCGATAATATTTTTTGTAATATCTTCGAATGAATGAAAAATAAAAAAATCAAGATCAAGTTAATTTGAACCCGATCTTAATTAACAAGAAAAATGTGTGGCCTACATATTGGTTAGGAATTGAGGAAATGGTTGAATTTTTGTGTTTTAGGAGCGTGTTTTAGAAAACTGAAAAGTGCCCCCGCCATTGGGACCGGAAGGGAAAGTTCCCTTGACCCAAATGAGAACACTTATAGGAGTTAACGGACGATCTTCGTGTTTAATTTCATCATATCCAACATTTCATTCAATAATATAAATATCACGTTATTTCGAAAATTCTCGATTACAAAATAACTTTATTGACCGAAAATAAGGAAATACAGCGATTGAACCAATTACGCCATAAATCAAATAGTGTAAATTTGCAAGGATTTGAAGTGGGTGCTAGTCGGGGGTACCAACTGGGCCAAGTCAATAACGCATTATCAATACATACAGATATCTGCAATTATGTAATCCACGTACATGCGTACCGGTATTTATTTTTCTAGAGTTGCCGGCCTTAACCCAGTTCGCAACTTACTTTAAGCAAGTCGAAGTTACGTAATAGCCGGTTCAGAAATACCAACTTCCTTTAAAAGGACTCGTTTTTTCAGCCTCATTACAAAATTATCAAGCGATCGATTATTGACACCCTTTCGGGTCCCGTAGTGTGACATTGAGACACATGGAATTTTTCAGCTGTTATACAACAATAAAACATGTGTTTTTATGCAGTGAGAGCGAAACCATCGCTGGCCCACATACCTCGTTTCAACACCGCTCGACGCCACTGGTCCAGCTGTCAAATCACGAAAATTCGGCCTTAAAAACAGTGTTTTCGGTGCCTAACAAAGCGGAAAAGAATAATTGTTTCCTTTATTTCCTCAACTTCCCTTACACTAAGTCGATATTATCTCCCAAAGGTTAACTACAGGAACCAGAGATAAATTAAATATGAATACAATACGGTGAACGGCGGGTTCTCCAGTGGCGTACCACACAACGGAGATTACCATTTTGCGAAAATAAATTTATGAATGAAATAACTAGGCCAGAAAAGACTCGCTTTCAGAGAAAAAACACTCTTAGTTTACGCTTTCCGCCGACTAATCATTTCTATTAATAAGTTGACTTTCTTATTTAATCTAGTGTGATGATAACAGTAACATAGACAACTGAAATCTACCATTGTATAATAATTTGGCAATGACACAAAAATCATAATACACAGCGACGTCAGCACACTTTCACTAACATTATCCGCATTAAACGAGACGTAGTCTGGGTTTTTTTAACGCAAATCAAAATTTTGGTGAAAAAATTGGTAAAATTGTGTCAACAAGAAATTACCGCCTAGGATTTAGGGATATTGGTTACTAAGTTGCCATAAATTTCGTTAGGTTGGAAATCATGTGGTTCCTGGTGACATTAATGTGCATCGAAGTAGTCGTTGAAAGGGATTATTTTAAGGTGGCAACCATGCGAAAATGCAAACAATCCTAACGTCAATCTTCCCTATTTTAAATGTGTACCCCAAGTAGCAAAAAATAATTAAATTAACAAGGTAATTGACATAAAAAAAATTGTCAATATTAATTTGTTCTGAATGACATTAATGACACTTTTTGTGTGAATCTACCTTTAAAGTTAAGATGCATTTAGACTTCTACAACCTACTTGATGCAAAAGACTATATCTAACTTTTCTTAAAAATTTAGGTTAGTTCACCTGTCAGCTTGTATGCATAATTGATAGTTGACAGCAGGTTGACAGAATATGTCAACTGTCAACAACAACGAGTAACCAACCTTAACATTCAAAATTCTTGTTACAAACACGAAAAAATTTTCCTAAAAGTTCAAATCCAAATGGTAATTTCTTGTTGATAAATCTCTATATTATGTTAAAATGTAGTCAAAATTTTAACTTTAATGTTAATTTTTCTAAAAGTTTTCCTAAAAATTCAAATTCTAGGTGGTAATTTCTTGTTGACAAATATGTAATAATATCGATAGAAATTGATGTTGTGGACAAAAATAACTAATGAAAAAGGGTATCTATACAGAAAAAGGCTATTTTGCAAACGACACAAGCAGGTATTCTGAAAATTGGTAATAAATTTTTCGCTTTAATGTCAAAATAAGCAAATATTAAGAAGAAAGAAGTTTGTAAGTTACACAACATTTTCAGTTTTTTAACGAATTTTATTATGTTCTAATCGATTTTCTGCTATTTTTTGTCAAAATTTCTTGCAAAAATCTAGTCTTTGAATAGTTTTTAAAGCGAATTTTTGCTCAAGAATTTATTGAAATTAAACAACTTTCCTAAAAATTCAAATTCTAGGTGATAATTTCTTGTTGACAAATATGCAATAATATCGATAGAAATTGATGTTGTGGACAAAAATAACTCTAATGAAAAAGGGTGTCTATACAGAAAAAGGCTATTGTGCAAACAACACAAGCAGGTATTCTGAAAATTGGTAATAAATTTTTCGTTTTAATGTCAAATTAAGCAAATATTAACAAGAAAAAAATTTGTAAGTTATACATTTTCAGATTTTTAACTAATTTTCTTATGTTCTAATCGATTTTCTGCTATTTTTTGTCAAAATTTCTTGCAAAAATCTATAATCTTTGAATAGTTTTTAAAGCGAATTTTTGCTCAAGAATTTAGTGAAATCAGACACCAAATTCCTGTTTTTAAGTTTTCAACAATAAAAGAAGATACTAAAAATTTAAAAAACGGGTAACTTGCAAGTTGAACAATTTATTTATTGTACAAAAAAACATTTTAATCATCACAATCAACATAATTCTTTTTTTTTGAAATATTATCAAATAATAATTTACTGAAATGAGCTCAAAGTTGCTGTTTGTTCTAAATTCTTTTCACTTTAGTTTCGAATTTGTAAATTTTTAATTAGTTCCTCAAAAACGGTGCTACCAGACTAACCAGACACCTGATTTAAGTTTATTTTGTATTCTCGTCAATTAGAGAATGTTGGCAAAAAAATTCTAAGGGTGGTCTTTTTATGTTGTTGTTGTTGTTTTCAAATTAAATCAAAAACCGGAACTGCCAACTTCTTTCATTAAAATAACCATGAAATTCATTTCCTTGTTAAAAAAAGTCCTTAGGTGTTCATTATTGCAAGTTGCGAAGAAAATCCAGACGAATGAAATTTTCATAAAGCGTTCATTGTTTCCGTTCCGCGTCCGATTTTACGGGTTTCTGCGTATTTTCCAAGAGCTTGGGTCGATATGGCTAGACGAGCGCCCTTTCGAGGTGGGTCAACGCCATACAGGTCATATGCATTCGCTCTATTTGCATGTCTGCGAAACCAGTCGATGTTTGGAAATTTCACCAAGAAAAAGTGAAATTGTCTAAAATCGCCGTTTCCTCTTGATCTCGATTAACCAAATTATCAATCACATGTCTAGCAATGACATTGAAATTTTTTTTGCCTCGATATCAGTAAATATTTTGCTAAATCGACAATATTTTAAAGTCACTGGCCAATTTGTGTAAACCATACTAATACCAAAACTAATAATAATAATTATCGCTAATAATGTTTATAATTCGGGCAAATCAAATGTTTTCCAATTTTTTTCCGCCAATCTCTGTCGTAAATGTTGTATTTGTTTTTCGGAAATTGCCGATAATGCTCTATCAATTACGTAATTAATAGTTTTTCTTCCAAAGCTGGTTATTTGCCGATCTTAGTTTACATTTGGCAGTCATTGACTTATTTTTTATTTCAATGCCATTTACGCAAATTCCAATAATCCAAATCAATTTTTTTCGCACGACTTTACGTAAGTCGTGGAAATTTCACATATGTACAGAAGATTAAGTCATTGTTCCGTCAAAGTCCATCTTTGCTTAAGCTTCCGCGCAAATGAATGCAGTCAAGGATTCTGAATTATAATTAAATGAACCAATTTTGTATCTGGCAACCAATCAAGCAAACTTTCAGGTTTACGCAGGACCCATTTAATTGTTGCTAAATAAATAATATCTCCAGTTGGCAACTTATCACAGTTACTCAATTTTGATCAAGAGCCTCGTAAAATGTGTTTTTCCTGTTACTATTCGTGGCCCCATAAATTGGCACACTTTGGGGTTATTTTTTATCGTCATCGATTGAGGAGGTGGTGCGAATTCAGTTGCTCAATTTAGGTCAAACAAGTGGTTTATTTTTCAACGAGACTGTTAAAAATATCAATGCACATGCAGCATGCAAAATCTTGACTGGCCTCATTAATTTCCCAACAAGTCAAAGTGTTGATGTCTGAATTTAATTGGGTTTTCAGGATCGGCACCACCAAAAATGATGCTGATGATGCAAGTGAAAAAATCCGAGACAATGCGTTATATAATCCTCCTACAAAGTGGATTTGGTCCCACTTAGCATGGATTTGGGTCAGACCATGTGAAATACTGTGATTTTCTGTACGACCTCCATTAAGACGTTGCGATGTTGCCAAAAGTGCTTCCAGTGAAAGTGACAAGGCATCAAGGTTGTCCATCATGATTTCCGTCTGACGAATACACGATCAATTGTTTCATTATATCATTTAGCACCTATTTCCGGCCTTTGTGGATAACAACAACGCCGGTAAATCGCGAATAATACGCGGAA